GGCAAAATTATATAGGCGGTTGTTGAATATGAAACGGAGTCTACACGCGCAGTCGGAGTCGGAGATCGACGCGTTCACAGGCGCAGTCGGAGTCGGAGATCGACGTGTTTTCATTTCCCGCCATCTTTCAAAATTTTGTATTCGTAATGTTGGACGTGTGTGGCGGAAATTGGGCTGGGCGGGTTGAGGAGAAGAGGCCCAGGCTGACATTTGTACAGCAGGGTAACTGGGCTTGGTTTGAAAGAGGAATAAGTTCATCCGAGGTCCCTTAACTTATCAACGAACCGATTTTCGTCCTTCAACCGAAAAACCAGATACAACGGGTCCCTCAGCTGTCAAAACTAATGCACATGAGGTCCCTCGGCAGTTTTGGCTGATGTGGCACCTATGTTATTAATTTGACTTAGTCTTCATCTGATATGGCATGGACGTGACGCTTATGTGGCAATGTGACCCGAAAAAATAAAACCTCATGGGACCCACATGTTAGTTTCACACATAAACTAATCAAAAATGGTGGGGCCCACATGGCCCCACATGTCATTCTCAGCCCCCTCTTCCTCCTTTATCCCGATCTCCCTCTCTTTTCTCTTCACTCTCTCTGCCCTCTCATCTCCCAATGCTTGATGCCTCACTGTCGTCGCCGTCCATATGCTCCCGCAGGCCGTAGCTCATTGGCGTCCGGCCCAAAGAGATGAGAGAGCAAAATAGACTTATTTCTAACCATATAAGACATGGCCCAAAGAGTTGAGGGACTCAAAATAAACTTATTCCAAGGACGAGCACGATGCAATGATCGTGCCTTCGGATCGACACGGCATGACCCGAGTCTTATTGAGTCATGTCTGGGCCGTAGGCGCAGTGGCTGCACAAAGCACCATATGGCATGTCGACTGGGCGTGCCTTGATGTAATGCCCCGCTTTCAGCGAGACGTTAAAAACTAGTTTAATAAAATCCTAATTGCGAAAATTCCGTTCTTTGAGTGAGAGTCTAAGTCGTGCCATGGATCTCAATTCATATCCCTTGTTCCCTCTCGTCGACATCAAAATCCTCCACCCCAAGATTTCAATTCCGATTCAACTTCCGAAGTCAAATACCGAATTCAATCGCATCCTTTGAATCCTCACCAAATACTTGTCCCTGTTTTCGCAAATATCAAATTCTCATTTTGAATCTCTCTCTTGACATCTCCTTGACTCCACCTTGTGTTCCTAGACCAAATATCAAAGTTAAATCCAATTCCAAACTTCTTTTCCTTCCAAACCAGTTCTCACAGCAGAAGTTCAAAATCCGTCCCTCTACTTTTGTGGGCCGAATTCCCTCCCTCGGCCCATCTCCTCTCTCAGCCCGTTTCCCCCTCCCCTTCCCACGTGCGCCGCACGTGAGCCGCTCGGGAGAGCTCCCTCCCTCCCTCTCTCTCTTTGTTCTCTCTCCCTCTCTTTGATCTTCCGGCTGCCGCGATTCGATTTTCGCCGCCGCCCGTGGTATCCCGCGCGCTCCCCTGCCGTGGCCGACCGGAAGGACATCGGTGTCACTCCCTCTGGTCATCGCCTGCGCCGACGACCGTCCTGTCCCCGCTCCACTCCACACTGCCCACCGCCGTCACCATGGGGTTGCTGGCGTCACCTCGGCTTCCATGTCCCGGGCTGCCCGCGTGCGTCCAAGGCCGAAAGCCCGAGAGAATGCGCCTCTCTCACGCGCTCTCCCTTCTCCCTCTGCTCGCCCAAATCGGCAAGGAGCAAAGCTCCTTTCCTTCCCCTTTTCGCTTTTCCCCTGACCACAGCCGCCACCATCACCTGCCACCCCTTTGGCCGCTAGCGCCGGAACCAGCCACCGCTCCTTGACCGCCCTCGATGTCGGTTCCCTCTCCCAAACCGCCTCTCCTCGTGCCTATAAAGCTCGAGCCATCCTTCTCTATCTCTCCCATTTTCGCTCCCCACCGCCACCGCGCCATTGCCACCTCAGCGTCAAGTTTGCCGCCGGGTGCCGCCGCTCGACAAACGCACTCCGTCTCCTTGTCCTCCGTCGACCGAACAACGGTCGTCGCCGCCTCATCGCGACCCTGTCCGTGCCGCCCCGGTGCCGTGATCATGACCCACGCCCCCGTGCGCCACCGACTCCCACTCACCACCGGATCACCGCCGCCAAATTCGTGGCCGTTGGTGAACCCTCGTCCCCTTCCCCTTATCGCGTTAAACGTTGTCACCACCCTCGCTTTCTCTCTTCTCCATCGTCCTACCACCCTCGATGCTGCGTGTGCCATGCGTCGTCATCGGCCTTTCTCTCTCTAACCAACTCGTCGTCACCCTCCCGGAGTTCCTTGCGCCAACTCTCTGCTTCCCCAACCGTGCCATCTCGGTGCTGTGCCGCCCCGCCGTCGCGACTGCCATGACCACAACTCCATCCCCATCGACGCCGTTCCCTGTCATCGTGGCCCGCCGTGGCTCTATTTTTGTCGCCGCTGTTGGTCCCCCTCCCTTCGAACCCGCTCACCACCACCTTCCTCGAGCCCCTCTCGACCTCCCCCTTGCTGTTGCGTGGCCGCCAGCCGCCCCTCTTGCTCCCGCGCCGTGCCGCCCTTTCCGCCGCCGCGGGAGCATCCCCGAAGACCATTGGGCCCCGTGCCACTTCGCCTCGCGTCGCAATCGTGTAATGGTTCGTCTAAGCCCGATCCCGCACTCTCTTTTCCCTCCTTGCGCTCGGCCACATCACCCATTTGGCGAGCCTCGCCGTCGTCGCCGGCCGCCGTCACACCTCTCCTCTCAAATCCAAGCCGTGGAATGAGTTCCCCTTGACCTCCTCTAGCTGCCGGTGATAGACGCCCTTCCCGGCTCGCCGCCGTTCGCCGGCGCCCCTCGGCTGCCGTGCGCCGTCCGATCTGGGCAAGCCCGGGCTCCCTCTCTCTTGCGCTTGCATGGCAGTCCACATGGGCTCGACCAAGTCCGCGCCTGCCCCGTCAGCCTCCTTCTCTCCCTCCCTCGCCCGTGGGCTCGGCCCACCAGCCGGCCTCCTCCTCGGCCTATCAATACAATCAAAGTCCAATTTTACTCCCTCCTCCAAGTCCAGTGACCCCAATCATGAGCTAAAGTCCATAATTGTTCCCTCCAAATTGCTCCTCCCTCACCCTTTGATTGGCCCCACATGTCAATGAGCGATAAAAGAATATTCTTTTCCATAGAATTCAATAAATCATTTCTCCTATTCCAGAAATTCCATTTAAGCTTCCAAAATTCATATCTATTGATCCGTAGCTCCGATTGACTCCGTTCCACTTCCAATAATTCCGTAAATTTGAGATCTATATAATGGCACTATTAATTAGTCTAAATAGGGTCTTTCTTTTGGTCTTGAGCAAGGCAAGTCACCCTTTGACCAATTGCTCCCTTAATTCCAAAATAATTATTATTTTGTTTGCAACCTGCATTATTAGAAATACTTAACTCGCTTGGCCTCGGTCTGCGTGCCAAACCGATGGACCTACCCAGTAGTCGCACTAATTCCTGTAGGCCGTTCTACCCTGATTCCTTGTCGCTCCACCTTTGTGGTACTTCGGTATCCGTGCTCTCTGAGCGCGTATACCAACTATTCCACATACACCGTTGTTTGTCGATAATTGAGGAAATGGGTTCGAGAAGCCTTGAAAACCCGACATGTGGTGTCAGTGTGTTTGAAAATAAAATAAATTGTGAAAACTCGCGATACAGGGGTTGTGCCTGTGTGGCGTTGTCCCGTATTTGCATATAAGGACCAATTCATGTGGGAAATTCATCCGAGCATATAACAAGTGCGACCACACGGGTAGAATGAGACGCTCTTGGTTGAGTAAATAGCAAACCAGGGAAGCCTTGATGCCAAGAGACAAGTGGATTCACCGGGGTGGTGTCGAGGAGAACCACTGGGCTTCCTGGCACGGTATGGTCTAGGACCTAACCTGTTGTTGGTTTGGGACCCCTCTCGTTGGCATATGGCGACTCTGTATCGGTTTTCGAAATGCCTTGTCATGAAAGCCTTAAGGTCTCCCGACGTGGCTGATCTCCACGGGCTGGGTGATCCGAGTTAGTAATGTTGTGTGGGTAAAGTGTACCCCATCTGCAGAGGTTAACTAACTGTTCGAGCAGCCGTGCCCACGGTCATGTGCTGATTTGAGGTGTTTCCCGTTGCGTAGTTTTGTTTGCATGTGCTTTCTGAAAAGTTGTTGTGGATGGGAATCGTTACCAGAATCAACCTATGTGGCAGATGGATGACCTGAATGGTCAGAAACGGATCTATATGATTCAGATGTCTACGGGCATTATAGACTAGGCTTCCCGAGTGGAAGCAGATTGTTGTGCTGCTGGGCAACATGACTCTGGGAGTCCGAGAAAATGAAAAGGCTCTAGGAGCCGATTAATAAGAGAAATGGCTCTGGGAGCCAAGAAGTAATGATACGACCCGGGAGGTCAGTACATTACCATTTGAGTTGTTGAAAAGCATCTCTTAAGTCGAATCGAGACGCAAGTCTCTTTTCGACCCAAACCTGAAAAGAAATAAATCACCTAATGATTTCAAATAAAAAATTTGCATAACAACCTTGCCTCTCTTCCAAGCTGAAGTTGAAGAAGAAGTAAAGTGAAGATTAGGGTTACGTCTTGGTTCCCAGCCATCGCCTGTGGTGTTGGGTGTTAGTCCATTGGTTCCACTGCTGCTACTGTTGTTGGTGTTTGCCTCGTATGTCGTCGGTTCTATTCTCGGGCTGTCCTGAGCTATAATCTAAGTTAAGGAAAATAAGTCCTCTATTTATTTTAAGAATTACAATTATTCATATTTGTCACCGTGGGTACCAGCGCTATTGTCGTGGGATTGCTATTGAGATCGCGGTTTCGTAGGAAGCGGTTCGCGCCGTTTTTCCTACGGCATGCTCCTGTTAGGTGCCGTTGTACGGCGGTGCCGGATCGGGATGTGACACTTGATTGTACCCGGACGGGGTCCATTTGGTCATCTATACCTCAATGTTCAGACCGCAAGCAAATTACCCACTCCCATTTTGCTTCAGTTACCTCATGAATCCGCTGCTGACGGCCGCCGCCGCCGTCGTCTTGTGCTTCCTCCTCCATGGCGCGGCCGCCTCCGGCGACCCGTTCCCTCCACGGTTCAACTCCATCTTCAGCTTCGGGAGCTCCTACTCCGACACCGGCAACTTCGTCCTCCAGTCCGCCGGCCTCCCGTCCATCCCCTTCAACCACTCCCCCTACGGCGACACCTTCTTCCGCCGCCCCACCGGCCGCCCCTCCGACGGCCGCCTCCCCATCGACTTCATCGGTACGTGTTCTACGCAGTTGCCGTCGCCGTCGCCGCCGTTGTTGATTAATTTCTCGTTGCTGTGTGATTGATGCTGTTTTGGCAATGGCGCGCGGCAGCGGAGGCGCTAGGGCTCCCACTCGTGCCGCCGTTCCTGGCGAAGGAGGCGAACGACTTCGGCGGCGGCGGCGGCGCCAACTTCGCCATCGTCGGCGGCACGGCGCTGGACGTCGGGTTCTTCATCCGGCGCAACAACGCGAGCGTGCCGCCGTTCCAGAGCTCCCTCCGCGTGCAGATCGGGTGGCTCCGGAGCCTCCTGAGGCGCGCCGGCAACGCCACCGCGGCGGAGCGCCTCGCGACGGCGCTGTTCGTCGTCGGCGAGTTCGGCGGCAGCGACTACAGGTACCTCCTCTCCGGCGGCAAGAGCCTCGAGCAGGCCAAGTCCTTCGTGCCGGAGGTCGTGCGAGCCATCTGCCGAGGCGTCGAGGTAACTAAAACAGTAAAAACACAAACACCATTGCCCAATGTCCATTGCATTTGCTCGCATTTGTCGCCGCCGGCGCCGACGAAGACGACGAGTGTGTCTGTGTGTGTGCAGAGGCTAGTGGAGGAAGGAGCGAGGTACGTGGTGGTGACGGGGACGCCGCCGGCGGGGTGCATGCCGATGGAGCTGACCAAGTACGCGGCAGCCAACGCGTCGTCGGCGGCGGCGGCGTATGATCGTCGGACGGGGTGCCTCCGGCGGCTCAACGGGCTGGCTCAGTACCACAACTGGCTGCTCCGGGAGGCTGTGGAGCGCATGCGCGGCAAGTATCCGACGACGAAGCTCGTCTACGCCGACTTCTACAAGCCGGTGGCGAGCCTCGTCCGGCGACCGGCAAAGTTCGGTAAGTCGCCGCGCCGAGATTTTTTTTCCTGCTTTAATTACCCAGTTTCATATTGTAAGTCGTTTGACTTTTTTTCTAGTCAAACTTCTTTAAATTTGATCAAATTTATAGAAAAATATACTAACATTTTTAATACAAAACAAACATATTATCAAAATATATTCAATATTAAATTTATTAAACCTAATTTAATGTTGTAAATATTGCTATTTTTTCTATAAACTTGGTAAAATCTAAATAATTTTCACTAAGAAAAAAGTCAAACAACTTATAGTATGAAACGGATGGAGTATTTTCTACTAGAAGGAAAAACAAAAAGGAAAATTGTAATTATTTGTTTCGAGTACAAATCGGATGCACTGACATGGTTACACCCACACACATGGACATATCCTAGCTAGCACAAATCTAAAGAGACTGAAGGCCTAACATAAAGACGCGAATATTAGAGAATGACCTTATATTAGATAATTAGAAGGGGTGAGACTTCGAATCCAGGTCGTCTAGTCTACCATCTTGTGGAAGTGGCCGAAAGACCCCTGTACGTTTCTCATTGAAGGCCTAACATCGTGTAGCGGGTACATACTTTGTCAAGCCCAAAATAATTTGAACCTTTAACAAAATTTGAACAAATTTGACCAAATCAGAAAAAAAATATATAATACTTCCCTCGAAATAATTTCAAAATTTTCGGTCAGGAATTTTAAACCATGGTCAGCCGTACCACCTGAAACTTGAATTGGGTCGTTAGATTGCACCACAGGTAATCTGATTAGCTGAGCTCGGAAAACAAATCCTAATAGGCTCAAATTTTGATGAATTGTAATTTGATTTATCTTTTATAGATCGACATCGATCAGCCATCGTCGTAGCTATAGCTCATAAATGCGAGTGTGCGACAGTAGCCATGTACACACGTAAAGAGATATAAGAGCAGGTACAATAGCAGGCTATAAACTAGCTGCAAACATATTTTAAGGAGATAAATAAGGAGAGAGAAGAGTAGCGGGCTACAAATTTATAGCCAGCTGTAGCACGGACTCCAAGACACAGTGTGTATATGACAAGTGGGACCATATATTAATGGTGTAGTATGTAACTATTGTATGAATAAGCTATTAGATTGGCTATAGATAAATTGGAGCTAGTAGTTGGCTATACTATTAAACTTGCTCTAATGCCTGATTAGTGAAGTCAAATTGGTTGATGAAACCTAAAGCGATAGAACAATTAACTGCGCTAGCTTGAGTACTTGAGCACTTCCAAGAGCTTTGCAACTTACGAAATTTTAGAATCTTTAGGTACGTTAAGCCATGAACTATGTCGGGAAGGCAAAGCCGAAGAAGTTACAAGATTATTGTGGCTTGTGGATCGAGAAACTAGCTATAAAGTCTACAATCACAGTATCTTTTTATGAAAACAATCTGGCATGCAGCTGTAATTTTGTTGGGTGTCACACAAAATAATCTACCAGCCAGCTTGGGTCAACTCTGCTAGCATATAAAATTACAAAACACTTGTAGAAACCCAATGAACCCTGTTAGGTTTGTTGACATAAGGGCTGGTTTGGTTTTAGGCCTAAATTAGACTTATCAATATTTGGCAAATTTAATAGTGTTTAGTATCTATTTGGTTTGAAGCCAAATTTTGACATGCCTAAGAAAATAGGCCATTTCAATAGTGAACTTAGGCTATTTTAGCTTCAATCCAAACACAACTTTACCTTTCCAAAATTAGTCATGCCAAAACTTACCAAAATTTGGCACTGACAAAATTTGGTAAGACCTATTTAGGCCACAAACCAAACCAACCCTAATTCTCGCTCATTTCAATCTAAACCAGGTTAGTCCTTTTGGTCATATATATTTAACGTCTAAATTAATATTTCTAGTAAATTCGTCAATCTTAAAATATTCTTGCCGTCTTTCAGAAATGCTTATAGAGATATGGTATACATATGTGCGTTCATATGGGAGAGTGCATGTGCGTTATCATCACTAACGTTTATAATGTGTTTCTTAAAAAAGATTAAAATATTATTGACCACCGATAACTTCTCAGATAGTTAGTAAAAGAAAAGAAGAAGTGATTACATAGATTTTTGTTTCTTGAAAAGCACATTCTATATACTTACTAGATTTTGAAAATCTTATAATATAAACATAAAAGTCAAAGTTTTAAAATTTTGACTGAATTTTATCTTAAACATAATCGGAGGGACTAACTTGTTTCAAACATACTTGCCAAAATTTTTTTGTCCGACGATATAAAATTTACATATCTCTCGTCCCATGTCAATACACTCCATATGTATAGCAACGTAACAATGTAATATGTCATTACACTTCATATCTAATAATACGAGTCTTAAGTGCTCTTGTATTATTTTGAAAAATCCATTATCTTAGAAAAAAGAAAAAGGTAACTTATCTGACTTGGCCTTGCAGGTTTCACGCAGCAACCACTGAAAGCTTGCTGCGGCGGGGGCGGGCCGTACAACTACAACCCTGGAGCGGCATGCGGCTCACCGGGCGCGTCAACCTGCGGCGACCCGTCGGCCTACGTCAACTGGGACGGCATCCATCTCACCGAGGCCGCATACAAGTACGTCGCCGGCGGCTGGCTCAACGGCGTCTACGCTTACCCGTCCATTCTTAGCCTCTTGGCCCAATAACCAAGGTAGCTAGTGCGGATGATTTTGTACGTCAGTAGTATGTACGTGCATTTTGTATGTCAATAGTCTGCTATTGAGCTTGACTTTGAAATGACCGGATAATTTGGACAGCGAGTATATCTAAATTCATAGTAATAAAATACATGATATATTCTTGGACGGAGCGAGTACGATGTAACAAGGTAAGAGCACTTGTTTGAACTATTTGTTAGGTCTAAATATATAATATCTTCAGTCATAAATATTAAGAAAAAATTACTAGACAAAAGTAAAAACAAAAAACTGCCTAAATATTATGCAATATGCACCATGTTAGTTAACGGAAAGCTACAAAAGCTGCCTATGTCTGATCAAAACTACATGTCTTATGAGACATTTTACCTCACAACAGCTTGGTGCTTCAATTTACTGAAACAAGACACGAAACAACAGGTTGTCTTCTTCATAATTCAAAACCCAATCAGCTATTTAAATTAAGCTAAATAAGAACCATCGGATTCTTGAATAAATACGAATGATAAATAAGAAAGTGTTTCCTTACATCCGTCAGTCCATCACACGACTATGTACATTTGCTACTATCGCAATGCTGCATGTTACTGCGATAACTGACAATACCCACGTGCTACCACCAAACCTGAAGGGGTTAGCCTGAAGCTGCATCTGATACTTCCATTTAATTGTCTCAACAAAATGGCCATGTAATGGTTGGTGAATTCTGGCAGTGGGAGGTGGATCTGGATCTCAGTCGTTTTGTTCTTTTGAACCTTGCTTGAATCTTGGGGGGGGGGGGGGGGGGGGGGGGGGGGTACTGTAGCAGATCATCCATTTCTATCTATCCCTTTAACGACAACTACTTAAACCTCTGGGCAATTAATCATCATCATCATCAATTACCAACTTGTGTCTTCTTTTCAGACCAGGCTTTTGATCAGCAAAAGAGCTTTCCATGTCCCCAGATTCGGTGATATTTATATCATCGATTACCCTTTGCTCAGTATTTTCAACGTTATCTAGCTCAGGCTCAATGAAGTCATCCAAAAGTTCTGTTTCACCAGCACCGCCACTGTTATTAGACGAATTTAATCCATGGTGCAGATTATCCCTGAAAAGAGAAGTTATTTACAGTTGAATCAGTGTATCAAATAATAAGGTACTCTTACTGTTATTTATATTCTAGCTACTTAGTTTTCACTAGGCATAAGTGCATAATATGATATGGGTAACAATAGAGGAACAACCAAATATGCAGCACCCTTCAATATTGAACAGCTTCAGTTTCCTCAGCTTAATAGTTCTGCTTCACTTAAGTGCAAGTTTACTGGCAAACAATATTTGGGGATGCCATGTAAAAAAAAAAAAAAAAACAGTTCATGAGAAGCATAGAAACATTCAAGAATCTATCACTGGTTAGGGGAAACCATTCTTCCAACTGATGTATTTTCCAAAGCATCAGTCTACAACTTCGAGAATCCACCACTTGTGATGCATGAAAGAACTAACAAATATATTTTATGTGCAAAGACAAAAGTAGCAGGATCACCATAATTCACAGCAGTCTATTCTGGTGAATAAGTTTCACACAGCCTAGAGCCCGTAAAATAACATCTGAATCATTCCTGTTTTTTTTATGAAGCTTATGATATGACACTGATAACACTACAGAAGTAGTTCACACATTTGCTAACAAGTATGAAGAGAACAGATCAGACAGTTTGAAGAATTTTTGTGCCAAGATGAACGAACTTACTTAGAACTGATAGTTTCATCGTCTTGACCTATGTTTTTCAAAGGCTCTTCATGTTCTTGTGTATTTGCTGCAAAACCTGACTTCAATAACCTCTTCTTTTTCCCACTTCTGTTAAAAGCAGAACAAATTTACTTAGCCAAATGTGTGGGACAGAAGAAAAGCAAGAATTTATAGAATCAGTAAGGTTTAACAATTGGCATAAGAAGATTTATATGGTCATTTTATTGATGAGTGTAAAGCTGTATGAGCTCACCTATGCATAGAGTCTATGATCTCATCACCAGAATAAGTGTCTTGCAGGGCTTCTTGTTTTTGAGATATTTCCGGTGAATAATTACTGGTGTTTGTACTGTCTGGTGACTCCTGATGTTTCTCTATATTCATTGCATTGTCCGGCGTCAACAGCCTCTTCTTTTTTCCACTTCTGTTAAAGGAAGGACTTACATGATTTAGTTTAGTTAAACATATTATTATTAGGAAATAAAGATGGTAACACACAGAATTAATGAGGGATAACACTTCCTTTGTGTAAAAAGCGGAAGGAGCTCACCTGAGCATAGATCCTATGGTCTCATCATCAGAATCCGGGTCTGCCAAACCATCTTGATGCTGTGATGTACTAGGTGAGAAACCCACAAGTGGTACCTTCTTATTTTTTGTTCTGCGAGGAAAACACTCAAAATATCAACATATAAAGGATAACAAAAATTAATTTCATCTTAGTAGTCCATGACATTTTGATGCCCAGTACTTGAAGAGGGAAATGTAACCTAGATTAGTTGCATACTAAGTATTAATCATCATATTCTCTGATAACTCAAGGAGACAAACTTGGCATACAGGCTATATCCTGAATATAAAGGCTGTACAGCACATAGTTTGACTACAAAATTGATTGATCTGCAGGACCATATAAAAATTACTATTGCATCACTCTGTTTTGCAGAAACATTTGGTATTTTCAGTGCAAATTACCCAAACAGAAATAAAATATACTTCTACCTCACGATTTAAATGTAGCGGCAATATTTCAGATCACATTCATACTTTCTGAAATACAGGCTTCTTAACAGTAAAATGATTTCAGATTCATTTATCTCGTCAACAAAGTTACTTCGTTGAAAGCAACTTACAGGGTAACTCACCTGCTTTTAATTGCTTGTAATGTTTCTTCATCAGATGATTTTCCATCGGTAGTGTTGTCCTCATAGCTAGCATGCGACACATTTTGCCTTTTCCTTCTGCGCCTAAAAATGCAGGTTATGTTTAGTAACAAGTACCAATGAAGTGAAATGTGAAACCAAGAAAGCATGCATATTATGTTTGATAGAAACGCTTGTCCAGTAAAAGAATAAGGGTCAGTTGCACTTATCCATACAATTGGTAAGCACAAAATTGATTATCGAGCATTTTTTAGAAGGAACCACACATTAGGAATTAGGCTGACTTGAACTTGTATAATAATGTCAACAGAGTTCATTTGCTTGTGCATAACTGTCTACTAAACATGTCAATAGAAGTCAGATACCATTACAAAGTGAATGTCACAGCTGATCATTTATAATAGGGGCAATTGCAGATTTACCACTATTTTGAATCGTTATTGTAAAACTGCCACTAGAAAATTGAAAAAATACCACTAGAACTATCATTCGAGTGGCATCCTTACAAAATTGAAAAAAAACGATGGCAAATTTGCAAATGCCCCTTTATAATACTCACCGGGTCGTTTCTGGCTTGGGATCACAGTTGTGTTCACCTAGCATCTGGTCCGTCTGTGTAGCCAATTCTTGAGCTGAAAGAGGTGCCTCTGGAACTTTTGTCCTCCTCTTCATGGCATTCCTCAGGCCTAGCTGTGTGAGCTTTCGATAAACTTGAACAGAAGAAATCTTTCCACTGGGGTCTAAAGCTTCAGCAATGAGATGAGTGCATTTGCGGTCATCTTTGTATCTGCAATACGAAGGAAATAAACCCCACATGATCCCTACCTAAATGACTAAGCCTTACATACTAATGAATACAAAATTGTCCTTTTTGGGGAGGGGGTGTTGGTGCTTCCTCACACAGATTATGTGGCTACACTAGAGACTAAGTTTTGTTCAATTGTATGATTCTATCATTTTTTTTGCTTGATACAAATTGAATACTTACTTTTCATAAAGATCTCTCATAAGCTTCTCTTGCTCTTCACTAAAAATGGAACGACCTCGCCTTTTGGGGGCTTCAGAATTCTGAGAACCTCTTGATACAGTGTTCCTATTTTTTTCAATTTGAATTGAACTGAGGATTAAAGAAGCAATCACAAATTCAAATGTAGAACCATGTATAAAGCAAACCTATCATTATCGTCAGCTTCACTGTCTGAAAATGACAATATCCTGTTACTTTTATTTGTGGCACCCATGCTTCTCTTAGAAACATCTTCATGTTCGCCAGACGATGAATCATCATCCCTGCTTGTATGCACATAAATCATATCGTCACTCATGTGTTTCCTAGTTGCCGCTATATTAATGGACATAAACAGAACAAACTTACTTATCAGCATTATATGGTTCATGTGGTATAACCAAGTCCACTTCGTCATCACCAAGAGAATCTGCTATGTTTATTGAACCTCTCCATCCCTTACTTGAACCAATTTCGCCACCCTTGTTTGTAGCATCTTTTGTGATATCACTCAGAAGAGCATCAGCATCAATGCAATGGCACTCCTTGCGTGTTTTCCAAAAGAGTACATCAACAAATAGCAATGGTTGTTTCTTCATTACCCTCAGCATCTTTCTTACAATTTTAGAAAGAAAATTTACAATGTTCGTATACTCCTTTGAATTTGATGATTTCTCGTCAGCTAATATATCATAGAAGGTAGTTAGAAGGGACAGCTGCAAAAGACAGCACAATGTTAGATCCCAAGGAAATATAGCTCCTTACATAAATATATATCAGCGTATTTTTACCTGATAGAGCATTGGTGCCAATTCCAGGTCTTCGCAAAATCTCCGCAGCATGCATATTATGTAGTGATTTGTTCGAAAGGAGTTACTCTTGTAATGCTTCAACAACCAACATATATTTTGGACAACAGAATTGTTCGCAAGAGTAGATATTAGTCGGGATACATTGAAATCAACTTCACTAGTAGCAGGGGGTTGATCATCAAGTGAAGAGTCTGAAGTCCCATCCTCTTCATCAATTAGATTTCCTTTCAGTTCACCATTGTCTGCACGAGATGGCTCGCCTTCACAATGCGAGGTGCTATCCAGATTAACTGATGTGCCAGCAAGTTCATCTGGTGCATCCATGCCGTTGGAGACAACTTTTTCTTGCTCTGTGAGAGGAGGCTCTGCTACAGAATCCACATTTTTCAAATCTGGAAGTGATTCAAGTGCAGATTTAGTCCCATCTGTTGAATCAACATTGCTCTGTTCCATTTTCTCTGCATTGAGATTTGTGTTCTCAATTTTGTTCTTTGAAGCCTTCTTTTTTCTTCCTTTTCTTGTCCTTTTTGCAACCTATAGCGGTGATCAATAGTCAGCTCATAGAGAAAAGGGAGGGGCAAAAAATCTCAGCATAAAATTTCTCATCTTCACTTGAACAAATAAAAATTGATAGAAACCATAGTTGCTTAAAAGGAGATGCAGACAGATCATAGTGTAACTTGGTGGCCAAGAAAGCAAGGCATACCCTTAATGCACCACGTGCTTGAAGCTTCTCCATGAGCTGTAGCATGATATGGATTGTTCCTAGTAAATCTGCAAGATCACTGATAAAACAATAGATATGTTCATCAACTATTTGTAAAAATGTATTATTAGATTGCTATATAGTTGATTAAAGGAAAAAAAAAAAGACTCGTATGATTGTCTAGAAACCAAGTGCAACCCAAACCATGCAATGCCCTTTCACAAGAACAAGTGTTTGCAGAATGTAGCAGCTTGCACACAGTATCCCATAGTAATTTTGGACCTTTTCCTAATATAAATATCCAAAAAGAATCACTTGTACAAACCTTTTTGGTTGCTTATGAGTATCAAATGATCTGAATAAGTTCAGCAGAAATTGAGTGAGCCCTTGTTCTGTCTGATCATAAAACAGCTTATACAGTAAAACACGAGCTGTTTGAGATTCTCTTGAATCATCAGGAAGTACTTTAAGCACCAAATATACCATGTCAATCTGCAAGGTAAGGTTCTTCAGCACGTAGATTTTGAATGTACATAAAGTCATAACTGGACAAGCCATTAAGACAGTAGAACTAACTGAACTAGGCAGGTTCAAGCCTTTCTTTCTAAAGTATATAAGATTCTCTTTTTCAAGTTAATAATAAACTCTAATTCTCAGATAACAAAGGAGTTGATGAGATTCATCAGAGTACTAGACTAGTATAAAGTTGAGCAGAGTTACTAGCCTGAAATGTTAGTATACATATTTTCTTACCATGTTCTTCATTAGAGACCCAGCTGCTGAAAGAGTCTTGTAATCATGTGTTTCCTTCAGGCTATCATAGGCCTCACGCCACCTGGAGATGACCAAGTTAAACATACCTTCATTCAATGTGGCTGCAACAGGTCCGCATATGTCACCAAGAAACGGCAGATTATCATCAAGATGATCGCTAGGAGAAGCCTCAGGCAGTTGGACCGCAGCATTAGATTTCTGACAAAAAGAGGTTAGCAATGTCATAAAACATCATGGAAAAAAAGATGATACATATCAGCACTAGTTACAAATTTTGCAAGTATAGTATTCAATGCAAACAAGGCGAGGCAATGAAGACATCACTAATCTACAACTTAGGTTGCACTAGGAAAAACGGATGGAACTCTTGACAATTTCAGATTGCTGCTCCAACAGATTATACCGGGAAAAAATTCCTTGTGTGATAGGAATATGAAACAGCTGGCCGATATAAGTAAATGCAATTACACATGGTTTTATAAAAGTAATGTGAAAACATGATTTTATACAGGTCCGAGGACCATGGGCAGATCTTGCACAGCAGGGCTCTTCTCCGGTCATGCAACAAGACTCTTTAACCAATAATATAGAGAACAGATGGGTGCAGTAGATTTAGTTTTTCTCTTTCTTTTCTTAATTGAACTGATAACAAATTTAGTAACTAGTAGGTAATTACTAAACAACAAATCCTTCTGGCAAGTCAGCTAATTATTCAGAAAAATATATAATCTTGTCAGGAAAAGTAAAGCCTTCCTCCCTCTTGCTGCTACAGCGCCACAGGTGCTGTCCATGGTCCACACCAGTCATACGTGATTGTTTTGGGCCTTTATTGCTTGCTCTAGGTAATATTCATGATTACGTGTTGTTTGAAGTTGAAAATACTATAAAATAATTAGGATAGTGTTTTACCCTTTTTTTTACGCTGAGACATGAATAAATACCAGCTCATAGAGCAAGTCATGTTATTTCCAGAACTGTTCTTTTAACACCGATAGACAATACAGTACCACAGGTCAAAACCAGTGAGTCACTGACCATAAAAATGCAGCACAAATGGCCCATGAGTTTAATTCAATACCTGAGCATTTGATGCCTTCTCGTGTTGAAAAGCTAAGACAAAGCGAGCAACTTTGAAGAATGTAGTGATGTCAGATTTCTGGATAGAATGATGCTCCTTTACGATATCATCACAGACAGACTGCATGAGGACTGGCAAGCACTGTGTTATCCCAAGCTTTACATGAAAATGGAAAATAGTAGTTCTGGTTGGCAAAAATGAAATGGCTAAGTAACTCACTCACCATTGTATCCTCCAGATAAAAATTGTTCCAGGAAATTTCTTATCATCTCCATTGTGCCCTCTCTCGGTGTGTAGAGAAGCTCATTATCCCAGGCAATCCTTTTCTGGGGCCCTCTTTGGACATTACGTATTTTCCTTAGGCTATTTGCAGATGCGGAGTTGGGGTTCCCTTTGCACAAGGATTTAGATCCGTCCTGTTAGTTCAAGTGAAACAAAGTAAACAAACAGATAATTATCTGCTTATGGTGCAGGATTCAATTTGTAGCATTTGATAACATATGGTACCACTGCCGTGCATGTAAAAATTCCACTGATTGAGTGATGCTCTGAGTTTCGTTGCCTGAACATCCTCTTTTTCCTCTCTTCCTCCTCCATCATTAATCTCAATGAATGTACTGATGTATCGATATTTCCTTCAACATGTTCCTATGGAATATGACTAGAGTAAGCATGAGTGTTTCAATTAAGAACTAAAGGAGTGTCTCAGGTGATCTACATAATTAATGAAACTTGGGGAAAGGTTCAGAGAAAATAAATACCTTTGAACCTGCAGTAGAAGCTCTAGCAATCAATTCTGGATCCCGGCCTAAGAAAAGGTAATGAAAGATTTCCAAAAGAAGAAGGTTTTCCTGCTGGAGATAACCAGATGGCTCATCCATATGTTGAGTCAGCACTAATATTAGATCCATCACATTCTCTTGAAACATGAGCTCTAAAAAGCTGTCAGCTAGACAGAGCAACTGGGTAGCTTCTCCAGATGCCTTCTGACCCAATGTGATTTCTTGAATAGCCAAGATGTTGCGGAACAAAGTAAGCACCAACTGAACTAGTTTCCAGTCATCTTCTGTGAATGAAGCTCTGGTTGCCATTGTAAAGTAAATCATAACTACTCAAGTTGCAAGAGCAGAGAAAATACAGCAAACTAAATAACTGAAGAACAGAAAGAATATATAAGAGAAATAAATAAAGCTCATTTCAAGTAGGAGAGGATAGACAGGGGTGACATGCAGTAAATTGACTAATTGTGTATCCTGGTAAGTGTGCTCCACTCTTTCAGTACCAAAGAATCATGAGTTACTTTATGGCTTTATGCTATGAAATATGTAAGTTAGAAGATTATCTCTTCTTGACAGAGTGGGTTTCCTGATAGAAAAGGAATAATACCATCTCTTGTTAATAAGAACAGTAAAATATAATTTACCTTTCCAAATGGTCCAGTGGATCTTCAAGAAGAGACACAATGACAGCCATAGCAACATTGCGCGTCAGTGCTGCCTTCAGATCCCAAAGATACTCTATCTGTTGTGCAACATTCTCTGATGACGGCTCCACAGGCATTGTAAGGAATACCAGCACTTTCACTTCAAAACAGAAGGGAGAGGGAAAACATTTAATCTCATAGTGCTGCATCGAAGTATTAATCCAAATAAAGGCATGATACTTAATTATTTGAATGAGAAAAAAGCATATAATGAGGATATAGCTGAATGCAAACTCCATGTCTGCAATTATAACTTTGAACAACAAGATAATACTAGAGTTTTCCATACACACAACCATAACATTCTCACGAGATGCAAGCAGGAAGAAAGGTGGTATGCATTCTTATGCCAATTATCAGTCTCTCTAGTTAAATCTAAAGGATAGACCTAAAGTATCATTAAAAGATTCAATTACGGAAGTTGTAACTAGCAACAATTGTGAAAAACGGATTGTCAAAGTAGGCAGGTAGGTGCTGCTGCTGCTTAGGAAAAAAATAGCATATAATCTAGCAGAACTTAGCTGTTCCTTATATGTAAGAATAGAAGCCATCAATTATGTAGGATACCTAATATTATTAGAGATGTTACAGCCATATAAAAAATGCATTGTATTCTCACTTTCTCAGCAACAGACACAAGATATATATTGAGTACAACACAAATGTAACAAAAAAAAACATGCATTAACAATTAGTACCTAGCCACGCAACTGTGCAGGGAATTTGCCTAGTTTCTGATAAATTGGTAAGCGAAGTTGAATTGGGGACAGAATCAGTATCCAAAACAGCGTGTGAGTCCTGACTCATTCATACATTTGCTTCCACACATCACATTCGTTATTTCGCAAAGTTCAAAAGTACAAATTGGTTTCATAAGGAAGAAACCTATGGACTGAAAAGAAAGACTCTGGATCATCAGACTATGATTTAACAAATGGGCACAGAATGTGAGCAATGTTTGTTTAATGATATCAATTCTAAACACTACTACACTGGCACGAAGACAACGAGGAACAATACTTTGTTTGTTGACATCATTTCGTCAAATCAAGACAAAAAAAAATAAGTGCACATATAAGCTATCCATTTTCAATCAACATATGTGACAAACTCCCCGGGAGATTGTTCGAACCAAACTCATTATGTGACCTTTCGGAAATGCTGGAAGCGAAAACGAAAAAAAAAAAAAGAAAACCAGTTTACCTGCCGTGATCACCAGGTTGCGATCAGCCTGGTAATTCTCAATGATGGGCACCAGATCTCTAGATGCGATTTTCCACTTGCAAACCTGCTTGAAAACCTCCCGCCGCTGCGGGTCATCCCGCCGCAGGAATCTCTGCAGATCCTTCAGATTATCTGAAGAAGAAGAAAAGAAAAACGCAAAAACAGATTTAGCGACCACTGCGTGGCGGAATCGAAATGGAGCCGGAACCAAAGCAGCTTGCGGGGAGAGGCGCGGAGGCGATAGATACCGAGGCAGTGCTCGCCCTTGGCGTAGCCCACGACGGCGCCGCCGTCGTCCTCCTCGGCGCCACCGAGGCCGGCGCAGGTGAGCGAGAGCGCCGCCGAGTCCATGGCGGCGCTAGGGTTTAGGCGACCGAGCGGTGGTGGGGAAATCGGATCTTGGAAGGGAGTTGGGTGCGGATTGCGGAGGAGAACCGGGGAATCGCTCGAGGGGAGGGGGAATGGATGGATCGCTCGGGGTGGGGAGAGAACGGGAAGATGAGATGGCGGCGCGGGGAAGACGAAGGGATTGGGGGATTTTTCCCGCCGATGCGCGCCATTTCGGGAGGATTTTCCCGCGCTTTTTTCCACTTTGGGCCTTTGGCCCATGGGCCGGAAACTGTGAAACATTTTGGGCTATGTCCATACTTTACATCTGAAAACCCGAGATTGATTATTTCTTCGTAATAACATACGGAGCAGTACTTAATTTTTTAAGGCAAAATTTGCTATAGGACACTTAAAAAATACGTAATTAGCTGTGGGACACCACAAAGACGTGAATTTGTCTAAGGACATTATAAAAATATAGTAATTTGCTGCAGGACACTGAACACATTAAAATATAATATCCATTCAATTGATGAGAGAGAAATCACATAAAATGACAAGTTTGCCCTTATCTTCCTTTCCCTTTCAGTTTGTTCCGAGTTTCGACGCTCACTTGTGGCAAGCTCTATTGGCTTGCCCATGGTGGACAGGCGCTCGCGCATAGTCGACGGTGTGGTCATGTGGCATGCCTCCGGTACCGGCCTTATCCCCACCCCAATCCCCCCGCTGACCGCGTGCGCGCGTCGCCGAGACGTTCCTAGGTGGCGGAGCTCCCATGGATTTCGGCGACAAAAGCCGAGCTAAAAAGTAGTCAGAGAGTAAATGATACTAATGAACAACTAGATGACCAAAGATTCAAAATTATAGTTTCAGAGAACATAAGCTAGGCTTCCATAGAACTCTTTTATATAGTACTGATCTGTGATCACTAGTCACTACACACACCAAGGGAAGGAGAGAAAAAGAAAGATTAGAAGCAGAGACATATTGCTATGTCGAAGAAGGTAAAATTAAAAGCAGCAAGAAAGCAGAGGAAGGCGGCTGGCTAAGCTTGGATCCAAAAGTTCAGAGATTTGCTGCAAGCCCGCAAGAGCAGGGGGTGTCTCCGGCCGCTAGCGGCGTTGGCCGCGAGCTTGATGGACGACGGCAGCGGGCTGCGCAGCAGCGCGCGCGGCGGTGCGGCTGCTCCAGGTGCCTCCCTGCGACGTCATAGTAGATCATGCCAGAGAAATCCAGCGACTGGCACCGCTCCTCCATCAGTATCTCCTTCCTCCACACACCGTCCTCCATGCGGAAGCTCAGCTCCGGCCTGGCCTTCCTCCTCCTCGACAACGACGAGATAGCCTTCTTGCCGTTGCCGCCTCCGCCGCCTAGGAAAGGCACGATGGCGCGCGACGAGAAGGACACCGCGATCCCCACCCGTGGCCGCAGGTGCTACCGTCGCGCCGCCCGCCCAGGAACCCGGCGGCCGCGCCCCTCCTAGCCTCCACCTGCCCTCCTGCGTGCTGCGCGTCCGCTCTAGGCTCCAAACAGTCGCCGTCTGGTAATGGGGTGATGGATTGGGGGAATCAATGGAGGATTGGGTAGAAGAAGATAATGGCAAAAATATCATTTTTTATGATTTCTCTCTCATCAGTTGGGTGGATATTATATTTTAATACGTTTAGTGTCCAGCAGCAAATTATCGGAATTTTGGAATGTTCTTGGGCAAATTCATGTCTTTATAATGTCCCATAGCTAATTACGCATTTTTTGAGTGTCATGTAGCAAATTTTGCCATTTTTTAATACACAGTTGACTTTTGATATAACATTTGACCACTCACTTATTCCCACTAAATCCTATAGCTTAACATGCAAAGATACCACATCATCATCCACTAATAATTATTACATTTAAACATCATGCAAGCATGTATATTATTTATAATTTTATAATTTATTAGATTTTATAGCTTTTTAAATGTAAGCATGTAGTATAATATTTCAATATGTCTCTTCATCTTTATTTTAAAATATCTTATATATCCATATAGTTAATCCTAACTCATAATTTAGTTAATATGCTCTATCTCTTCTCTCATTAAGTCATATCACATCATCTATGGTCTAAATTATCTCCCTCTCTTTCTTCTCTTATTAAGTCATATCATTTTAATTATTTTTAGCCCTTAGATGATTAATCTATGATTCAAACTATCTTACTCCTTTTCTTCTCTCATAAAGCCGCATCAACTTACTTTTACATTTAAATCATCATTCAATATACTATTCAAATTTAAATTATTATAAACCACATTAACTTACGTAGATTTATATTATCTAGCTATCTTACATATTACTTTTACTTAGTGCTATTATACTAAACTATCGCAGCAACGCGCGGGGTTTCACCTAGTTAATAAAGAAAATATATTACTTAAATTTTTTTAATAAGATGAATGGTGAAACATGATGTAAAAAGTTCAAAGCATCATGTATAAATGAATGGATATAGTACTAATTGGCTTGTGTTATTTTGCGATCATAGTTGGTTTCATTTTAATCTAGGAAAAAGGGTTACATTCCAAGTTGTTAAGAAAATGCTTGACATTGGAAAATTTATCCAATAAAGAGTGTCTTTTCATATTAGGGTCACCACTAGACCTCCATCCTAAAAGAATATTGTTTTGGTTATTTTGTTCAGTAAAGATTGTATTTCTGTTCATCATTTTTTTTCCTTATTTTAACCCCCGAACCAATTGTTCTCCTCCTCCTCTTTGTTTTCTTCTCTCAGATTCTCTCTCAACATTAATAAAGATACTAATCTTTTAACTCCTAAACTTTATCTTTAACTGCTCCCTCAGTTTAATATTATAGGTTGCATTGACTTTTTTTAGTCAAACTAAATTGATTAAATTTGAAAAAATAGCAACATCTAACACAACAAAATAGTTTCATTAAATATATTTTGGTGATACGTTTGTTTTGTGTTAAAAATATTATTACATTTTTCTATAAACTTCATCAAACTTGTTAAAAGATTTGAATAGTCAAAACAATGTATGACATGGAACAGAGTGAGTAGAAGATAGTTTCTTACGGATGGAGTACTTCCACCATCCCATATTGTTAGGTATTTTCCATTTGTAAGCCAAACATCTACAAATTTGACCGTGTTAATTGGATAATGTGTTAATATCTGTAACACAAAATTAGTTTTGTTAAATCCACCATCTAGTATATTTTTCTAGTATATTTATTTTCTATTGAAAATATTGTTACAATTTTCTAAGTTTGGTCAGACTTTACAAATTTTGATGTTTGATAAATCTAAGATGTAATGTAATATGGAATAAAGTAGTACTATTCTTTTTTTAATAAATGATGGTGTTGACTTTATAATAGTATTTGGTGATTCGTCTTATTAAAAATTAGTGTAAATATGCTAAAGTATAAGCCATACATAAAGTTTCTTTAATGATAAAACATATCAAAACAAAATAAATAACATTTTTATAATTTTTAAATAAAATAATTAGTGTCAAAAAGGTTAACGGTTTTATTATTTTAAAAAAACTTTTAAAATTTAAAAGTAAACACTTCCTAAACTTATGTCCAAGATACGAACCTTTTGGTCATGTCAGCTAGGCTAACATGCAAAACCATACTGCCACATCGGTCTCGCTCATGTGGCAACGTTATTTGGTCACACCGGTTTGGTTAGCGTGGCAACATTATTTGGTCACGTCATTGTTAACATCAAAATTTGTTATGTTTTTTTAGTGAATTCGGTTAAGAAAAGAAACCGATTGGATATGAAAATTTATATAGATAAGGTTGAATTTAAGTAGGAGTCCTGAAAACCACAGCAAGACAGTTTTATATTTCTTTTAGTATATCTCTTAAATAGGTAGAACTAATTATTTCCTTTTCTTGTTATGAAATCTTATCTCATGTTCAATATGGACATGTACAAACCCAAGAGTATAAATATGTACACCCATGGTCTCTGTAATCTCTCATATCAATATATAAATTTTGGCGCATCGCCTACTTTTAATTTTGGCGAGTTCTTAGTTTCAAGCGGAGCTGCATTATTTCATTCGCTGATGAGGAACTACGCTATGCCAACTTTGATTGTAACAATTTAGTTAGAACTTTCTCGATTTAGTCCAATATTCTAATTAGTTGCTACAATCGCTGCCTATCTTGATATACCGGCTTTAATTTGGCTAAGGATTCATCGGTTCGACCTCTTGGTCCAATCTGATATATCCATCGCATTTGTGTAGATCTATCGGCTAAATAGTTTTTTCTTATTATCGTCAATCTTATATGTTTCGGTTAGGTCTGATCTATTATATTATATTGCTGCTAATTAGTTTAATTCTACTAAGTCGATAGGTCTTTATGCAACATTTATCGGAGTTCGTAGTGATGAGTTATCTACAATTTCTGAGTGTTACATCGGCTCATGTTTAATTCAGTATACTCACTAGTTAGATATCTCTTTATTAACTTTAATCTTGTGCTGTCTCGGTTTGATCCGATCTATCGAGGTTGTTTTTAATAAGGAACGACTTATTAGTGATTATACATTGCTTAGTTCTTAGCCGATGGTAGCATAAGTTTTGATATTTATCTATTCAAGTTTACATCGGACCCATAGTCGTTGATCTAAACTTTGTTGGCATCGGTTGCCCTTGCTATATCACATTGAATTAACTGACGCGCCCTGAACCTCAAATTTAGAATCTGCACTGGAGTTAAACAGATATCCTAGGTCTCTGTGTGTTGGATAAATTTTGAGCCGGCAACCATCCTTGCTAGCGTGGCAGGATAAAATTATCACGCCCGTTACGGGTAGCATGTGAGTGTTTTTTTCCATACCAGATGGGTAGACAAGACAAAGGGTTCAATTTTTTTGAAAATAAGTTTTGAAATGTTATTTTTAAAATTTAAAATTAAAAGTTTAAAAAATAATAAAAAAAAAAGTTAACATCATCGTCTATCAAAAGAAGGGATGTTGCTTATGTCACTACAGCCTATCAGAAGAAAAAGAAACTCAGTTATCGTAGTAAAGTATTCCCTACATTCTAAATTGATCTACATATAGTTTTTTTAGTTTATTCCTAAACGATCTACATATTTGTGTTCATTTATTAGGTTTGTTCGTTATTTGTGCATTGAAGTAAATGGACATTGATGCATGCATCTATGCACACATGTATTTAATAACCCACATGCAATATCTTGATTTGCTATTGGTTAGGAAATAGTGGGGATGGTGCATGTATTGAGTTTGTTGCTAGAATAAATATAGTATGAGAGAGTTATTAGTTTTTCTTGGTCTTTGTGTACCTATGAAATATGTAGATCAATTTAGAATGGAGGGATTACGAAGTAGTAGGAGTGACACTCTTGTCAAAGTAAACAGTAAACAGTAAACGCCACTGGGAGTCGGTGACGCCACTCTTGTCAAAGTGCTTAACACTTTAACAGTTGGATTAGCAAAGTACAAGTAGCGCCACCGAATCTAGCATAGCAACCATCCCCCTTCCTTCCCTTCCTTGCTTCTTCCTCCTCCCCCCTCCCTCTTCATCCTCAACCACCACCACCACCCCGCGCGCGACGCCATGCTCCGCCGCTAGCCCACACCCTCCCCCCACCCAGGCGCTCGGCGAAATGTCCCACCGGGCGCCAATGCCGGGGGGCTCCTCCTCCCTCTCCGACGCCCTCGCCGCCGCCGCGCTCCGCGACAAGCCCGACTCGCTCCCGCCGGGCCGCCTCTCCCCCGTCTCCCCCCTCGTCCACTCCAGGCTCCCCACTCCCACCTCCTCCTCCGGCTCCTCCGGCTCCGCTCCGCCGAGGCCCGCGCGGCGTGGTGGTGGTGACTACCACGGCGTCGGCGAGGGGTTCGGCCCGCTCATCTACACGTCGTGCTCGTCGAGCGCGGGTGGTGGTGGCGGCGGCGTCGGCGCGAGCACGGCCACCTCGGCGCTCGCCGCCGGCGCGTTCCCCGCGGGGAACATCTGCCCCTCCGGCCGCCTCCCCACCACGCCGCCGGTTCCGCCTCCCCGTGCCGCCCGCCGCGACGTGCTTGGCTCCGGCACCGGCAACTACGGCCACGGAAGCGTCGTCCGCGCGCGATGTGCCGCTCCAGTCTCCTCCTCCGAGGACCACGCGTCGGCGGTCAGGATGTCCGCGGCGGCGAGCGCCGAGGCGGAGGAGGTTAGGCGCGCCGGGAACGAGCAGTACAAGAACGGGTGCTTCGAGGAGGCGCTGCGGCTGTACGACCGCGCGCTCGCGCTGTGCCCCGACAGCGCCGCGTGCCGTGCCAACCGCGCCGCGGCGCTCATCGGGCTCACCCGCCTCGGCGAGGCCGTCGAGGAGTGCGAGGAGGCCATCCGGCTCGATCCGTCCTACGGCCGCGCGCACCAGCGCCTCGCGTCGCTGCAAATAAGGTGATCACTGTACCGTGAAAGTTGCTTTCATGTTGCGTGCTGGCAATTCTTCGTGTTGCATTGTCGGTGGAAACAGTTTATCTCCTGTGCCAACGCATAACTGCCTAAATCGATTAGTTCTAATCGAAGTTGAATCGCTTAATATTATATTTTTATTGGGTAATCAAAGTTAACTGATCAATATGGGGAGGGAAATTGTAATCTAATCTCACATTTAGTGTGTGAGGACATTTCTTCTGAGTAATATATTTCCCCCTTCCCAAAAAAAAAAAAAAACTGATCAATATGGATATTGTGCTGCTGAAATTTGGTTGTACTTGGTGGCACGATTTCGTGGAGTGGAGATCTCTGCTTCTTATAGCTTAATTTGGAACATTTCGCATCGGAATGATTGAATGTTTCGTGGAATGTAGTTTCGGATTGCAAAGAATGAGAAGAAAGGGAAATTTACCTTTTATAGTAGTGACTATAAAAGCTAACCTGGTGACATACCCGTTGCTATTGTATTTGCTGATGCCTATCACTCCATTTTTGTTTTTCCAGTGATAGTGGGTGTTGGGGGTGGGCAGGATGTCATGGTCATTCTATTGCTTTAGTCCCTACATTTGTGATATTTGCTTCTTATCCATGTGCATTTTTGGATATTGTCTTACTAAATATTTCAGGCTTGGGCGCACTGCTGATGCTCGGAAGCAAATTGGCATGGGTGGCCTGCAGCCGGACATTGTAGAGTTGCACAAATTAGAAGCAGTGGATAAACACTTGGGGAGATTCGCTGATGCGCGCAAGATTGGCAACTGGAAAAGCGCGCTGAGGGAATGCAACGCTGCAATCGCGGCAGGAGCAGACTCTTGTGCAATGGTCAAGTATCCTCCGTTTTATTTGTTATTGCCTAGTCATGCTCTGCTTGAAGAATGTTATTTATATATTGTACCAACTGCAGCTCTTTGCTTCTAGAGCGGAAGCTCTTCTCCAGATCAATCAACTTGATGAGGCTGATTTGGCAATCTCTAGAGCATCCAAGCTTGATTGTTCATCCTCATGCTCCCAGGACATGATGTTCTGTGGATTTCAGTCCAACTCATATCTCTACTATGTACATGCCCAAGTTGACATAGCTTTTGGAAGGTAATTTGGCAAACATAGAAGTCCATATTCCTGCTTGAATATAGATTACATCTATCATATGATGTCTGGACATTACTTTTATTTTCAACTTATGGTCACCGTGGCAAATACAAATGCATAACAAACTAGATTGTAAAAATCATTAAGAGAATTTATTCTAAAAATAATTGTTCTTTGCAGGTTTGATAGTGCGATGTCATCAATGGAGAAAGCTAGGAAAATAGATTCTGGAAACGTTGAAGTGATGGCCATGCATAAGAGTGTGAGAACTGTTGCCCAAGCACGAACCTTAGGGAATGAACTTTTTCATTCTGGAAAATTTGCAGAAGCTTTCCTAGCATACGGCGAAGGGCTCAAGCATCACCCTGCAAATTCAGTCCTCTACTGCAATAGGGCTGCTTGCATGTTCAAGTTAGGGCAATGGGAGAAGTCTATTGAGGACTGCAATGAAGCCCTTAAGATTCAACCCAACTATTGGAAGGCTCTCCTAAGGCGTGCAGCTTCCTATGGCAAGGTAATACTTTGCTCAATCAAGATGCTTTTATGCACATGATGATTGATGCTGGAAGACTTATGTTGTGCACACTATTTGCTTCTTTGGTGATTAGATTGAACAATGGGCAGATTCCGTGAAAGATTATGAGGTTCTTAGGAGGGAACTTCCTGGTGACACTGAGGTAGCAGAGGGGCATTTCCATGCCCTTGTTGCTCTTAGGTCATCACGAGGTGAGGATGTATCCAATATGAAGTTTGGAGGAGAGGTTGAAGCACTTGTAGGAGCAGAACAATTCCAGATGGCTACAACCTTGCCAGGTATTTGCTCTGGTCATCATCGTATCTTTCTTCCATATCATCAGCATCGAAACTTACAATATTTAGTTGACTTAAGAAGTATTGTCCTGTAATAATATAAAGACAGGCATTCAGTTTGCAAAATTGCCGTCTCTCTTTCTCTCTCTTGTTTGGAAGCTGTGGGGGAGGCCCTACAGATATATGGTAAAAACACAGAAGCGTTATGTACAAATGGAAAAACTAAAACTTACAGCCCTTAGGGGAGTAAAGACATTTTACAGTAAGAGTGTAGCAAATAAAAAAGCTTATGCTCCTTGACTTGATGCACATTCAGAGGGGCTTTTTCTTGAGAGAATTTTCCATTTCATAATATTAGGCACAATATTATTGAAGATCTTCCCATTTCATTGTTTCCATGTGCACCATGCTGCAAAACCACAATCCAGACCATGGACCAATGAAGTCATAGGACAGCAGGTATGTTAGATTTTATAGCAAACTTTAACAATTAATAGAGTATTACATTTTTGCAGGTGTTTCTGTTGTTCATTTCATGGCACCTTTAAATCAGCAATGCTCTGATATCGCCCCATTTGTGGATGCACTGTGTACCAGATATCCATCTGTTAATTTCCTCAAGGTAACTAGCATCTTCTAATGAATTATGTGCTTCTGATTTCTTATTATGATCTCTGTCAACGTGCTTCTTTGATTTTGACATAGGTGGATATAACTGAGAACCCCACAGTGACACAATTAGAAAATGTCAAGACAGTTCCAACCTTCAAAATTTACAAGGATGGGACACGAGTGATGGAGATGATCTGCCCCAGCCATCAGCTGCTGGAGTCCTCACTGAGACAATACGAGGTCTAGACCATGACTTCAATTATTTAATATTACCTGCAAGTTCAACATCCCCAAAATTGACACATGATAGCCACAGCTAAGAAGGCAATATTTGTTTGCCCTCTGCGAAGGCGAGTGAATATAAGCGAGTGATGTGAAAATTTACCCCATTTCGGCCAACCACATTCTTCTGTGCATTTTTACCATCCCCATTGTTATTTATGTATCTTATTTATTCTTTCCATATATAATGTATATGCTTGCACTGTTCTTCTAAAACATAAACAATGTCTTACATTCTTGTATAGAATAGGTGTAAATTCTTGTTTTCATTAAACTCGTATATTTAAGTTACTCAGTTTATATTCTGTGTATCCACAAACCTTTAGCTGCGTCTGTAAGCTTTTGTTGCAGTTCTTTTATACAGATCTGTATGTAAATTATATGTAACCATATTGCCCATAACCTGATTTGCTCAATGAAAGCATACCAACTTTACGTTTAGGGTTCAACATTTTATTGTCTTGTGATTTGGCAGATCAGTTTTATCATAATAGATATAGTTTTTAGCCGATGAGTGGGTGGACTGTCAATGATGCTGACACGCCAACATCTGGCTGGCTGGTACTGTGTCATGTTAAGACCGACGATTTTGGCCCGTCCTATCGTCCAGGTCGGCGTGCATTGTTATCTTGTCACTGTCCATCCGTGGAGCTATCACTGGATAGTGGTCTGGTTTTGGATTCGAGTGCTTGTTAGCTGTTGCTTTCTTCCCCCACAGTGGGCAAATAATGTGATGTGTACATGCGTTGTTATCATGTAACTTTCCAGGACTCTCAATGGGCAGCCGACTGGGTTTTGGATTTTTCATACTATGTTTTCTTTCTTTTCAGTGCAAATAACATGAAGTTTTCATGCAAGTTTATGTGCCGTGTTGGTTTGCTTATACATTATCTTAAAAAACGTGTGGTTTGCTCACAATGTGGATGGTAAGCCTGCTTTTCTGGTGAGATTTCATGCTCCTTTGGACAGTCATTGATGTCAAGAACGGCAAGTTATATGCATTTTCAGAAGCAAGGTAGGTTGATGTCGAAGGGGCTAGCTCTAGTGAATTTCACATGGGACAGTCCAATTACCCCAAGATACAGTTTTCTGCCTGACAAGAAACAGAGGTCGAGTCCTGTAACTCTACAGGAAGATGATTTGATGACACAGTGGCTGTTCTTTCTGTTTAATGTTAACTACAGCAAAGAGTTAGTTTGCTCTGTTTTATCTTGATGCTAACTGCTAATCATGTGACCTTGCATTAAGGGCAGGTACAACCACGTTTCCTTCTTTATGCTGGAACTGCTGGTAGTGGCCCTCCTAACTGCTGAAGGTGACCAATCAACCTGAAACCTGCATGTGTATATACCTTTTCCCTTTACATTTAGAACGCAACATGACGTGGGCTCAATTGGACTTATAAACACTGGATTAAAAACAGGTTAGTGTAGGCCTTCTGTTACCCCATTTTATCAGTAATTCTTTTCTTTTTTATATTTTTAGATTAAACACCAGTTTTATTAATCTGGAATAGGATCCGACACAAGTGCCTGTTCAATGAACGAGTAAGTAGTTCTTGTTTGATGACATGGGGGCATATCCGGAGCTGCAAATTGCTGCTAATAGCAGGCTGGAGCTAACCTGTCCATGAACTCATGGTTGTCATGGGTTCAGTGCTTGAGCTACAACTACCTGAAATTACATTAACAAAAAAAAAATGTCTCGCTCTCTCTCAAAACACATTCTCAAAAGACAAATGCTTCATTGTTAGATTGGCATTCCTACATACATAACAACCCAATATATCCATCTCAGTTAGAATTCAGAGCATATATCCATCTCAATTGGAATTCAGCTCCAAACTAACCACTACTCATCGTCGTCATCTTCCTCAACGTCAATGCCAGTGAAATCTATCTTGGCCCATTGCTCATCAAACAATGCCCGGGACGCAGCTCTTTGGACGAAGAAGTCCATTCCAACCTCGTAATACCCCTTCTCCACCTCTTTGCGGACCTGTTTCTGGAACTCCTCGAACGAGTCATCCGCTTTCTTCAAGAGATTTGCCGTCTTTATCACGGACTTGCTGTTCTTCTCGACCCATTCCTCCGAGAGGCCATCCACCTTGACGGGGTTGTTGGTCCTCAGGAGAGGGTAGTCCTCGGGGCTCTCGTAGTATGCCTCCCTCTTCTGGGCGAGCACCCAGTCGACGTACTCCTGCGGCATCTGAATCATCCGTGGTGGACGCTCGCCGCCGTCGTCTCCATCTGTCGCCGCCGCAGCAGCAGCACACGCCTGCTCTGCCCCCTTGCCTGCTTCGGAGGTGGCCATCGCCAGAGAAATCGATGCTGGCCGTGTCGCTCCCCCGCAACCTAAATACACTTGTGCGAACCCTCGAAGCAGTCGGACTCGGGGTTAGAAGAGGCCTCGGACACGGTCAACCTTGTTTCATGCTGGATGGGCCTAGCCCAACCTGTGCAACAGGATTATGAGCAGTTTTTTTTTTCTTCTCTTATTAGAATGAGGAATAAGTTCTCCTGAGGTACCTCAACTTAACAACGTGATTTTTTTAAGGTCCCTTAGCCACAAAACCATAAATGTGTACTCCTAAACTCACACAAACCGTGCAATCAAGGTTCTATGACAGTATATATGGGTGGTTTCGCTAACGTGGCATCCTAGTTAGCAATCTGGGACCACATGTAAGTGGGATGAATAAAAATGTGGGTCTGTATCCTTTTTTCTTCTCTTTTCTCTTCTCTTTTCTTTCTTCTCTTTTCTTTGGCGTAGAGCGTGGTGCGGCAAGCGGCTAGAGCAGGCAGGCGGAGCAGCGGCCGCCGCTCAGAGCGAACCGGAGCGGGGACGGCGACGAGCAAGCGCCAGGAGGGCCACCGGTGGCAGAGCAAGGGCGGCGGTGGGCGAGCTCTTGCACAAGGATGCCTAGGTCGACGTCGATGTCGTCTGCCGCGGCGCTGCCTCTGCCTGCATCGGGACTGGTTGTAGGAGGTCGATGAAGATGGCCCGAGGAGGAGGGGATGCGGCAGTGATGAGGTGGTTCCGGCGGGGAGCACCAGGGCGTTGGGCGGCCGCCAACTAGTCCGGAGGTCGGCGAGGAAGGCGACGACTGGCCATGGAGGCCGTGGAGCGGGCCCGCGACGGACTGAGTGGGTGGTGGAGTTGGAGTGGACTAGGCGGTAGCTCGGCATGGTGGGGAGCTCATCTGTCAGGGGGTGGGGGGGGGGGGGGGCGTGGGGGTGCCGATGAGGGAGCAGGAGGCGAGTAGTCAGAGCAGGCGAGTGAGCGTGCGACCGGCGGAGTGGAGCGGCAACGACTGGCGAGCGGAGTGTCAGTGGCGAGGAGCGAGCGGCCGGCGGAGCGGAGCAGCGGCGTGCAACCGGGGCAGGCCCGCGAGCACGCGGCCGACAAAGCGGAGCGGGTGACGGCGAGAAGGTTGGAAAGGAGAAGAGAAGAGAAGAGAAGAGACAAAAGAAAAGGGAAAAAAAGAGAGAAGAATAAGATATGTGGGCCACATATTTTTTTCTTCACCCTATATTTGTTTTGGTTGACTAGGATGCCACGTCAGCGAAACCACCCATATATATTGCCATAGGACCTTGATTGCACGGTTTGTGTGAGTTTAGGGGTACACATTTCTAGTTTTGTGGTTAAGGAATCTAAAAACAATCTCGCTGTTAAGTTGAGGGACCTGTGGTGAACTTATTCTTAGAATGAGTATTATTACTGGGCCGGATTATTGGACAGATATCCAGAGGCCTATCTAAATTTGCAGGGAGATGTTTTGCAATTTTCAAAGAAAAAAAAGTCCATTTTGAGTCCCTAATATATAGTACAACTGAAAGGAAACAGAACAGAGAGATCAACTACTATAGTAGAAGTGTACAACCTATAAAATGGAAGAGGCTGGATAGTTTAATGTGCACAATTTCACCTCTATCTTCCTTTTTCTTTTCAAATTTTTGCAGTGGAATTTTGTCTTGGGACAGGGGAGTAGGGTAGCAGCCCTATTTATCCCTTTTCCATCGATTTAATTCATCTCAACTACTTCATTCTTCTTTTTTCTCTTTTGAGGGAACATGCACGTTGTTATTTCCTTCGTTTTTTTGGTTCATGATACATTTGGCTCTGTTGTTCAAACTTCAAATAAGAGTCCTCACTACTTAAAAAATGATCTTTCCAGACACCCGCTTTATTTTTGCAAACGGACCTAAAGAATATCTGCATATTAAATGATTTTAGAGGTGTAATAGGGAAGATTTGTTTTGCAACAATTGCTTTTCACACGCGGACCCCTTAAGAGACTTGCATGTGAAAATAGAGTTATTTCCGTAGACGGGGCTCTTATGAGACCCGTATGTGAAAAATATAGCACCGGCCTCCCTCTTCTTTAATTTCTCTCCTACTCTTCGTGTCCTCTCTCTAAGTCCTCCCCCTTCTCTCCACTCCTCTCTGCCTTTCTCTCCATTCCTCTCCGAATGGCCATGATGAGAGGAGGAGGCAGTGGCGGTGGACTTGTGGAGGCGGTGACAGCGAGCTTCTAGCGGCGGCAACAGCAAGTGCAGAGTTGGGAGCTCACCAATGAAGAGCTTTTGGGGGATGGCGATGGCGGGTGAGGTGCTGGGAGCTCGAGAGGCAGCGAATCCAACGTTTAGGACGTCAGAGGCGGCGGATCTGGCACTCGGGACCTAGGAGGCAGCGAATTCACCGCTCGAGACCTCAACGGTGGCGGATCCGGCACTCGGAACCTCTGCGTCAGTCGATCTGGCACCACTGGCCTCGATATCTACGACGCCTCAACAACGACGACAACAACGGTAGATCTAGTGCTCGGGAGTTTGGGAGGGGTTAAGGGGTGACGAGAAAGGTATTAGAGAGATGGCCGGGGAGGTGGAACCCTAGCAATAAGGACAAAGACAGGTGGACGGTGAGCCAGTGGAGGTGAAACAAGAGCAGTTATGCAACAATGGCGGTTCTGGTGGTGCGAAACCATCGGAGGTGGCTTTATGTCGCCGGAGTTGTAGAAGAAGAACAACAAAGAGGAGAGAGAGGATGCCTATTGGACGAGGCTCACTGGCGTCATTGGCGACTTCTGGTATAGCGAAGCCACGAAGCCAGGGGCCGACGCGGATTGGGATGTAAGGAGACACATCACGAGGAGAAGGGGAATTGGTAATATAAGGTTAATTTGTTTACGGAATCTTGGTACTATATAAGCCATCGGAAAAGTGACTTAAATTTGTGAGTATTTTTAGTTGACCAAAACTTCACATCCATTTATTTATATGCTAAGCATGCATGCGCTCGAGTTCTAAATCCATTCCATTTTCTCAAATTCAATAAAGTATGAAACAACTTAGATGCATCCAAACAATGCTAGCAATGCTCTTAATGGAGGAGCAGCAACCTGAAGGGTAGAGTCACACCTATGTTTTATGGTATATTTTTTATAATGGAGATGTGTTACGTGTACCAGACCTTTAGATAATTCTGTACCATTTGCCTGCACAATGCAAATCCTGGAAATTTTGCTGTAATTTTTATCACTTGCCTTTCAAGAATTTAGGATGAGTTCAGCAAGTCATAAGATTGATCAGAATTACTACCACTTATGCCATTGGGCTTTTAGTTTATATGGAAGAGGTGTGGACTGGCAGCATGCGTTGAATAATTCCTCCTAAGGCCACAAAACAATTGGCCTTCCCAGTTTGATTGATTAGTGGCTCAAGGATGAAAGGCAATTAGAATTTTGTGTATGGAGCTTTTTCTTTGACTTTTCAGTATTTACCATTTTTGTCATTGATGAGTGAATTGAATGATAGTATCAGATATCAGTGATAGTGAGATTCAAATACCGCGCGCTAGCAATCTCAACATGTGTTCCTCGATTCGAGGAGCGACCTCGATCATTGTCTGTGTTTTCACTGTCTTATTGACCTGGCAATGGATCAACAATGTATCAAAAGTACTTTGTATGATAAATATTTTATTAATCCTTATAGGTTATGAACTACCAGAACTTACATATACCATATTCTAGACAAGGATGATATTTACACAATGCATGTAGATAAACAGATTCTGTGCTTATAATATGCTCAATTCAATTTATATTGATCACAGCATGCATTTCACGTGCACGATTACTAGTCAGATGAAACGACATAGTTATGTTCTCCGATGCAGGATGGCCTGGTTCAGTGCATGAACAGCGAGTTTTAGCTGCTGGGTACCCATATATACAATTTTCCTAGGCCATCACAGGGTTAGTAATATTTTCTAACACATCGCTTTTTGGTTATAGTATTATTGAAACTAGGAAGAAAGCCCGCGCAGATGCGTAGGTAATTTATTTATTGTTTATAAAATGTACAAAAAAGCCCTATCTCACCATATTCACTGTATGAAATAGGCCATAGATTTTTGACATACTAAATTATAATAATGTCCATCATATCCCAAAAAAAATCTTTTTGTACTCATCTATCACCACTACTTATTATCATGTCTTGAAATATGGATATATAGTTAGAATTGCATCTTTGCACAAATAAACCCAATACATAATTAATACCATAAAAAATCATCCCTACTTCATACCCAAGTACTCATGTCTCATAGGTATCCAAATCTACATGTAAATAATTAAAAATACCACTTCTACCAATTAATTAATAGAATAAGATCATTAAACTTATATATGAATGCCCCTTTAACAACCGGTGAAGCCAAATGTAGCCGCTAAGGCTTTTTTCTCCAATGCCTTGATTCATGGGTCCCGTATTGATATAGTCGTGATCCTCAAGACAAGCTCTTAGAGCACAATTTTATAAAGGATTGTATCGGTAAGTAGGCAAGTTGAGCTCTATTGTCAATGGTGACCTCTTACACGGACCACTTCAGCTCAATAATAAATACTCCTACCATAGTTATTACAATGTAGCCTATTGAGATCCATGCTTGGCACCCTTTTAGGGTATGAGTGAGAGAAAATGGAGATGATGAAAATAGTTTTTTTTAATGTCTTGAGTCGATTTATTGTATAGAGTGTACATAATTTGTTTACGGTGTTAATCGATACTACTAAATTTTAGTGGTACATATATAATTTTAAAAATTAGCAGGGTTCATCATTGGACTCTACTTCGAAAAATCTAATAGCTTTAGTGGTGAGGACCATGCAAAAAAAATATTTGTTCAAATTGTAATCCTTTGCTAACATACAAGTTAATATAGGTTTTGATCTTTTTTTCTTGTGTTATACATCTAATTCACCTATGCATGTTCGTGGGATTAATATTCGATGGAATTTTTTAAAATTATTTTTGCTAACTGTTAACACTATTTGGATTAGAACGACCTGAAAAGAGATATAATGTAGTTACATGTATGTTTTTTTTACTAGCGAATAGTACTATCTCATATGTATTTATGTTTTTTTTCTTTTTTTTCTTTCGAACGAATATTTGCCTATCATAGTAATAGGGTATATGTGTTTGTATTCATAACATGCGTCTGCACACATTTATATGAGATCTTGTGATTGCCTTTTACATTGTTAGTTAAAAAAGTATGGGTGGCTGAGGCGGCGGCATGGTGTGGCTTCTTTTACCATCCATCTCATTAAGAGTGGTCACTACGTATATGCTCAATTTAGAAAAACCTTAGAGCCTGGAAAGAAAGAGAAAACTACCATATGGGGCATACCATATACACACTCTTCTTTTTTTCTTTTTATATTTCTTGCGTATGTATGTACATAGGAGTTGTGTATGTACATAAGGAGATATTAGACGGTTTTTAGACGGAGGGATTACTGTTATAGATCTAATTTAATGGTTGAAAATAATGGATCATTGATTTTGAGTGTAAATCGATGAATAATTGTTTTTATTTTATTTTATAGTTTTTCTTAGTTTCTCTCTAATTAGAGCATCACATGACATCTAATGAGCGTTTGTAGGAGTATAGAAATGCTATTACTCATAGTCACAATCTACTTGTAGTCAACTATTGTTTGTGGTGGATTGGTTGCATCCTCTACCTATCATTTGTTGATCATTGCACACTTAGTATTTCCCTTTATTTTCGGTGCCTGATGATATATATGCTCATTAGATATCAACTAACCATTAGGTGCATTGTGCATGGATACCTCGTGAGTAATATGACTTGGCGATCAATAAATAGTGAC